TTTATTCTTCCCCTAGTCAGAATGGCAAAGGTCAACAAAAGAACTGTCTGTCAGCAAATGCTTGAGAGCATATGGTATGGGACAGACAGACACACATACACACATCACTCACACCCCTGGACAAGATGGCATATGGTGTGGGACACACACACCCCAGGACAGAATGGCATATGGTGTAGGACAGATACATATACATACACACACACACCAGGACACGATGGCATATGGTGTGGGACAGATACACAGACACAGACACACACACACACCAGGACAGGATGGCATATGGTGTGGGACAGATACACAGACACACACACACACACACAGACAGACAGACACACACACACACACCAGGATGACATATGGTGTGGGACAGATACACACACACACCAGGACAGGATGACTCTGGTTGGTAGCTTTAGAAAGTGGCGTAGCCACTCTGGAAATGAGGGTGGAGACTGAAGAATTCTCAGAAAACTAAACAAAGTCTGTCATATGATTCACTATACCACTCCTAGGCGTGTGTCCAAAGGACTCAGCATCCCACTCTACAGGAACCTGCTCAGACAAGGTCGTTGCTCTAGTCACAATAGCTTGAAATGGAAACACCTGAATGTCCTTCAATACACAAAGGGAAAATGCTGTACATACACACTGTGGAACACTATTCAGCTGTAAAGAAAAACAAAATCATAAACTTTGCAATTAATGGATAAAACTAGAAAAGATCCTACTGAGGGAGGTAACCCACACCCAGAAAGACGTAGCATGTTCTCTCTTATAGGATGCTCCTAGCTCCAACTCTCCATATGTGACTGCTCTGCCTGGAGTCACTAAGGATTAAAGTAGGACAGTAAGACACTGACTTCACCCCTTGGCTTTCGGTCTGCTTCCTCCATTTTCTACTTAGCTAATGTTTATGAATAACATTAGCTAATGGTATGAATGTTTGCTCATGAATAAGCAAACAGGACAAAAGAAACCTAAGAGTTGGGCTTTAAATCCTAACTAATCCATATGATTTCTCTTACTTGTCCCATTTTAAAACACCAACTTTATTTTTTTAAGATTTATTTATTTTATGTACATAAGTGCTATTTTATTATCATATGATAGATGAAGAAAGTGTACTCAGAGAACTTAGGTAGCTTTTTCAGATAATGATTCAATGAGCTGAAGTCTACACCTAGTTTCTCTCTGAAATCAACTATTTTATATTGTCTTGTTTAAAGTGACAAATACCTATTTAGCATCTACTGATATGACATTTTTTTATGAGAGATGTATTCCTAAGGATGTACTAAGGTTTACCACCTCTGTATTTAAACAAATCTGTATCTTGCTTTGGTGTTAGCTTTTGTAAACAAAATAATAAAATACTTACTTGAACATTATTCTTGGGATGTTGTGCATGTGAAGCAGTGAGTATATTAATGTGTGTTAGCAGTATGTTGTGTGTGTGAGCAGTGAGTGTGTTGTGTGTGTGAGCAGTATGTTGTGTGTGTGAGCAGTGAGTATGTTATTGTGTGTTAGCAGTATGTTGAGTGTGTGAGCAGTGAGTATGTTACTGTGTGTTAGCAGTATGTTGCGTGTGTGAGCAGTGAGTATGTTATTGTGTGTTAGCAGTATGTTGTGTGTGTGAGCAGTGAGTATGTTACTGTGTGTTAGCAGTATGTTGAGTGTGTGAGTAGTGAGTATGCTAAGTTCAGAAAGCCCATCCAATCTAGTAGCCAAACTGGCACTCATTTGGCCTTTCCACTGTACCAAGTACAATGTGTGCATGGGCTGCTTTGTGCTAGCCCACTGAACTGTTTAGGAGATTAAAGGACTCTACGAAGCCAAGATGGCTGCCCACTTGTAGTTATTGAGGAAGTTTGTCGCGTGTTTCATAGTCTTGATTTCACCCTTTTTTAAAATCACATATCTTCTAAAAGATAATGATCTTGTAAGTCTGCATACATATGCACACACACAAACACACGATAAGAGATGCTTAACTGGAATCATAGATATAATGAAAATCTACTTTATCTCATCAAATGATTCAAGAGAAAATGGTCATACCCCATAGCATAAACAAAAGAAACACATTCTAAACTAGTATTCCACAACAAGTGGGGGACTCTCTTGATCAGGAACTCAAGCTCATTGCCTTAAAGCGGCTTTTACAGTCAATCTGGCCTAGACATTTTGAGCACTTGGTGATGGAATTTTGCTACAGCTCTTGCTATTTATCCTTTTACTTTGACTTGATAAATACTTAATAAATGTATTCATTCAAATCTGAAAGAACAGATATCATAAATCATTCTTTGTACTTAATAAAACATAAACATTAGAGCTAGACCCGGGTTAAAACATAAAAATATGGCAACTTGTTTATGAATACAGTCATTGAAAATGCATTGGTTTAAATCATAGGTATGGTTCTTAATAACTGTATGTGAACTAAGACCACATACAAAGTTAATCTTGCCCCAGCTTGTCATCTGTAAAAGAAGGATAATACTCTAGTGATTGAAGACTATATCTCCTATGGGAGATGGTAAGAGATGATAAGTAACCGTAACTGTTGATACTGGTACATAAATATATACAAATGTATGATTTAAATAGCTGCCTTTACAGTTAGACTTGAGAGTGATGAATTGCTATTAACATCTACATATCTTGTTTTTATTGCAACTACTACACCTTTGGGGTAAAATGATAAAATTGGCTAATGACTGGTATTTATCGTATTCATGTGACAATTACCTTCATTTATATATTTTTAGCTCCAAGGTTTGCTATGTACACTAATTGACTTCTATTGCGATGTACTATTGTAGCTAAAACTTAAAAGAGTGATTTTCTGAACTAAGTTTTTCTTTGAATGACTTATTTTCTTTTATGTGTGTGTGCATGCACAAATATGTGCAGGTACCAGCAGAGGCTGGAAGAAGACCTGGAGGTGAAGATACAGAGCCATTATGAGCCACCTGATGTGGGTGCTGAGTACCGAAGTCCAGAATTCTAAAGGAACAGCAAAAACTATTCCATATTTCAATCTTTTTTGATGGTCATTGTTTTGTTTTGTTTTGTTTTCTTTTTGAGACAGGGTCAGATATAGCTCCGACTTGTCTCGAGAGTCTAATAAGTGACCTAAGATGACCTTAAATTCCTAATCTTCCTACTCCCATTTGCCCAATACTAAAATTTCCAGCACATGCCACCAAGCCAGGCAAACACAGTAAAACAATCAAATTCCAGAGTCAGGAAACCGGATTCAAATCCTAGCCATGACAATTTCATGTGTAAAAGTTACACCTCTGAGTACAATATAAAATGCATGAAGAGACGGGAGTTTTCTTCTCTGTGCACTACATAGTGAATACAAGCTGTGAGGAGGACAGTAGATACTCGTGAGCATCCATGAAATACTCTATGAATATGAGTCCCAAATAAGAACAAAGACTAAAAACTAGCTGTGATATGGAAATAACATGAAACCTTGCTGAAAGAACTTATAACTGTTTACTTTAAGATAAAAGTAAAAAAAAATAAAAGAACCAATAAGATAACATTGTATCAATGGGAAAATTATAAAAGTTCAGTGATTAATCAAACCGGAGGTTAGAAAGAGCAACACACTTTCTTAAATATGGTTGCTTTGCTCTTTCTTTTTAATTTTTTTTTTTTTTTGGTTTTTTGGTTGCTTTACTATTAAAAGGCAAAAAGACACTTGCCCGATGCTTTGGCATGCATGTATACATTTTATGTGTGTAAATATATATATTCGTATGTATACATTTTGTGTATATGTTTTCTTGTATGCAGGTATATCACATGCAAACCAGAAGTCATTGGATCCCATTATAGCTGATTGTGAGTTGCCACATTAGTGCTGGGAGTTGAACTAGGAACCTCTGGAAGAGTAGCCAATGCTCTTAACCACTGTGCCATCTCTCTAGCTCCAATATTGCACTTTTTTATGGTAATCTCTCAACGTTTGGGATAGACTGATTTGCAGTGTAAATGGGGGAAAGGTGCTTAATAAATTACAAGACGTTGAGTGAAGTTACCTGCGTTACTTAAAATGAATAACACTTTAAGATTCACTACATGCCAGCGTTTGGGTCTTTGCATAAATGAGCATCTTTCCTCACACTAGATCTTTGTCAGAAGCAATTTCTCTGGGTAAATCAGAGCTACATTCAAAGTTCTTCCGCACGCTTCATAGTGAGAAAGTCTGGAGTAAAGTCGGAGCATTCCTTCCTGAAAACAAACCTAATTCCGGATCAGTGGTTTCAAAAACGGAACACACGTATCTAAAGCTGATGCATAGACATGTAAGCATGATAGCATCTCATTAGTTCGTGGTAATTAACAAAAATAGAAGCCAAAGGAGAAAAGTTCAATTAATTATAAGTCAGGAATGACTTCCATGCTCCATTCCGAAAGTACGAAAAGATGTATTGTTCAGCTGCCTGCATGCCCTCCTAGTGCACCCCAAAACTATTTTAACAGTATTCAGTAGAAGGAACATCATGAAGCTTTCAAGAAACCACGATGACCAAATCCTACAAAAAGGAGACGGTAGGAACGCTGCTGAATCACTGGCACAGAACCGAGGTGTCTTCTGCACTGCCCAGGAACGCTTGGGGAGCCAAGATCCACATCCACATTAGAAACCAATAAAGCCAGTGAAGACAGAAGCAGGGTCCCAGGGCCTTCTCCAGCCTCGGGAAAGGACTTGGGACCTACTGATTCAATCCTTGCCTGATCACTTCTCGGTCCCACCAACAAGCTGCTGCAGGTAGGGGCTGGCCAGAAACACCAGGCCGAGCAGACGAGAGGGGAAAGTCACTTACCAGTCTCTACCGAAGGCGCGCATCCCGCAGGAGCCTGGCGCGCTGGCCCGGAGCAAGAGGTCCGCAGCACAGACCGCCCTGGCGACCGCTCGAGAGCGTCACTGACAACCACCCGGAAGTGGTAAACTACTTCCGGGGCCGCCGAGCGCGCGGCGGGAAATTATTTCCTAGAACCCAGATTAGTGGAGCCGGAGTGCTGCCGTCCTAGTCGTCGCCACTCCCGCTGCCACCGCCACCCCCTCCGCCACCGCCGCCGCCGCCCGAAGAAAACCGCCCAGAACTCCGGTCGGCCGGGAAGGTAAAGCGCCTCAGCTCGGAAGACGCCATTTACCGCGTCCCCAGGCCGTGCCGGTGACAGTCCCGCCGTCCTCGCTGGGCCGCCGCGGCGCCTGGCGCTCGCGCTTTCCACAGCATTGGTTCCTTCACGGTGAAGTCGGGGTGGCCGGGGCCCCAGACCGTGGCCGGCCCTGCTGGCCTTGTGGCCCGGGGCGCCCCTGCGCCGTGCTCTCGGCCGCTGCCTGTCGTCGGGGCCCGGCGCTAGGCCGCCCGCGTCTCCGGTTTCCATAGAACCGGCCAGGCAGCCTGGTCCCCTCCCAGGTCTTGGCTACTTCCAACCTTAGCCTCAGTGACAGTGGCAGGGATTCCCAGGACCTGCCCTCCTTTGAGAGGAAAATCGGGACATTTTTTCTCTCTAGTAGCATTGAGTTTTTCACACCGAAAGGAAAATGAGTTTGTATCTCTGCGGCTACTGTAGGCTTTGAATAGAAACATATGAACCTCTCCTAAAGGGAGGGTGTGTGTTCCTGGGGATCCTGTCTGCTGCCTGAGCATCGTTATGAGCTTAAGTGATGAATCAGGAACGTATTCCATTAACAAAGCCTGACTAAATATTGACAAACCATGATTTGTCTTAATACTCCAAATCAGGATTTGGGACCTGTGGTAGATGGAACTTGATTTTAAAGTCCCCAAGCACTTTTATGGCAAATGACTGTCCTCTACAGAGGAAACAAATCCTATTGAGACATTGGGAATGAACTGGATTTACAGTATGCATGTAACAGACACCACATCTTACGGACTGTGTTGCCCTATCATGACCTAGGTCTTACGTTGGTTTTCAAGCTATCCCTGTGGATGGAAGGTTTGTCATTTATTCTGGGTGATTTGCTTGTAGATTTGTGTGAGAGGAAATTTTATTATTTGTAAGTTAATAATTTTTTTCATGTACTAGGATGTTAAAAATACACAACTGTTTAGATCTGTCTTATTTTAAGAGAGTCTTCAATAAGTAACTAACCTTTTATTTAACCTGTTTTCTAAATCCAGATTTTCTCATGCTTTATTGACTTAGATGATGGTCAAATATATGGCTTAGAATATTTTTGCTTCTGTAAAGCAGAAAGCTTAGATCATGATAGCGTGTGAAGTAGTTGTCAATATGATTCCTTTTCATAATCAAAATTAATGAAGATTTCGTTCCATGAATTCTCTTTTCCATGGGTGGCTCGTTGATTTTTTTTGTAGGAAACCAATACTATAGTCTTACTAATTAGATAGTATTTTCATTATGTATCTTGAATATATTATTCTACAAGTCTTTTCTTTACACTCTTTAGGAAACAGGAAAAGAATAAAGTCAGTTCTCTGTAAGGTTGAAATAATAAAGCCTAAAGAAGCTAACGAACATTTCTAAAGAACAAAAAACTATAGTGGAAAACCACCTGTTTTTCTTTTAATTGATTCCAGTGAAATTATTTTGAAATTGAAACTATTTTGTTATTATTGAGAAAATCTGTATGAAAAATTCCAAAAATTGACTATAAGTCTGTTTTGAGAGAAAAATAGTAGAATCTGTTTTGCCAACAGAAAAATAATAGTACTCTTTAAAATATCCCTGGAAATGTATACATATCTTAGACACTAGTATCCTGAAAATGATTGGTAACTGTTTACATCTTTGCATTTGCTGCTCTAAATGTCTTCTTCCCTATGTAGTAGATTTCTTTCTCATGCCTTCCTGCAGTTCTGATGGAATATAGATTGCTCTATAAAATTGTAATGTGTTTAAGAAAAGTAGATTAAACCTGAAATTCCAACCTGGTTGGTGTTTTGGAAAGTGCATAGCCTTTTCTCAGAGTAGGCTCATCTTTAAATCTTGGTGTCACTGTTCTTAAAAAAATGTGACTCATTAAGGTGGGTTTTTATCTGTGCCCTGGTGCTAGGGATCGACTCAGTACTTATCTCCTGTCAATATTTATTGTATTACCCAATATACCCTTCCTCACCTAGTTTAAACTAGGCGTAATCCGCTATTCTCATCATTATCTTGTATTCTCATCTGTATTTGGGTAAATACAGTGGATAAATATGTGAAGTATATAGACTACAGTAGGTCCTTCATAAAAATTAAATCAAACATTTTAAATACCCAGTCTTAGACTCATGCTTTTCATACAGAAAACTGTCTTTGTAAAGTTTGCTTTTTGTTTGATTGTTTGTTTTTTTTTTGGGGGGGGGGGGTCAAGACAGGGTTTCTTGAAACCCTGTGTAGCTTTGGTGCCTGTCCTAGAACTAGCTCCTGTAGACCACACCTCAAACTCACAGAAAGAACCACCTGCCTCAGCCTCCTCCCCAGTGCTGGGATTAAAGGGGTGCTCCACCACCGCCCAGCCACAGTTTGCTTTCTAAGAACTCCTTTAATTAAAAGATCTAGCACAGCCTATACTATGTACAGTGTTGAATTTATGGGATAGTCTCCTTGGGACTAACATAATACATCTTTTGAAACTTAATTCCAAAGGCCTGCTCATTGACATTAGACCAAGGGTCTGTTTTTTCCTGGGTCCAGAAGGACAAAGATTCCTACACTCCACTTGAGATGAAAGCCACAGTTTCTTCACATAGGTTGAGTACTAAGACATGAGTGGATGCATTGCAACATTGTAAAGCAGAAGGAGATCTGGTGCTTTGGCCATGTTCAATTTCATTTTAAATTTAAGTTTCAATTTAATTTCTCAGTTAAATCTTTCAAGTTTTGAATTCAAAACAGTAAAGTCAACTGTACTGGACACTTGTATATGCTTTTCAGAAAAAAGAATTTTCAAATGCTCGCCAGTTAAAGAAGGTTTCAAATCAAAACAGTTCCCTTTATAATGAAAATGAAGAAACTGCTAATTTTCAACATGTAGTTTATTGTTTTATTTACCAACAAGAATATTAGCATGGAAAACTAAACATAAAAACCAGGGAAGTACATTCCCAAATGTTGTATGTACTTGTTTTTCATATACACATCACACTAATACAATAGTTTTGTAAGGCAAGGAAATTAGAGATGAGTTTAATCACTCACTGTATGTACTTTGTAGTACTTTTGAAATTGTCTATACTCAAACTGTTGATTGAAATTAAAACGAAAATTGGTAAAGATTATTTTAGCAGTAACAATGTAGTTCTTATACACATCTATAACTGGTTATAAAACATCATAATGCAGAGTAGAGGAGTTACCTTACTTCCCCTTAAGGACTAGGTCAAGCATCCAGGCTTCTCCTTTCTGCACTAATTTTTTTGGCCAACTATTTATCCTGCCTTTTGTCCCTCCCTCCTACCCTACTTTCCTATTCTGTCCTGTATGCACTCTGTATGTCTTTGCTGACCTTTGACTTGGAGTCTTTGTCCTATCTCAGCCACAGACCTTTATTTTATTGCCTGTATTCCACCTTGCTTTCTTTTTCGTTTCCTTATTTTTGAAACAGGGTCTCATTGTGTCTCTCGCTGGCCTGGAACTCATAGTGTAGACCAGACAGGCTGACTTGAAACAGATCCACTTGCCTATGCCTCTTTAGAGCTGGAAATAAAGAGGTACACTAGCGCTGGTATAGTGTAAAGAATTAAGATTCTACTTAAAAACTTAGGATAAAACATGCACAGTCACAGTAATGAGAAATGTAGGTTTCCTGGTGCTTCTGGCTGACTGACACCAACTGTCAAAGAATTTCAGGCATCAAGGGTAGGCCCTGGTAAGAGATATTTTAAGACAGTGCACCAGGCGACAGTGACAGTTGCTTGCTATGTATAAAGGGCAGCCTGTTCACAGGCACTGTCTCCTAAGTTTGGGATTTCATGTGGTTCAGGGTGAGTACATTTTAAATTACTAATATGAAGTTTTTAAAATGTTACTACAAAACTTATAACTAGGAATGTATTGGTGTAATTTTACTATAAAGATAATTAATAAAAATAAACGATCTCTCCTCTTTTATGTGAAGATGCCATCTGTGTGGTGCTTAAAGGTTCATATGTCCTACTTCTTTACCCCACTGTATCTGAGAAGATAGAAAATGTTCCACTATTAGCTATGGTATGGAATGTTTGTTGTTTTCTGGTACTAGAAGATTTCAAGAAGTAAGCTCTTAGTTCCCTATATTTCAGAACTTATCATCTATATAAAATTTAACTCTAAGTGGACTGACTTATTGATAAGCTTTAAGGACATTTCTGTAGTGTTCTCTTTTAACTTATTGGCGCATCAGGCTGCTGTTTACTGTTGTCTTTAACTTCCAGGGTATGGAAAAACCATCAAGCTACTACTTGTATGTATAAAAAACAACCATGTCTGTTTTACCCTGTTTATGTATATATTGTCCCATGTAGTCAGATATATTGAATGTCATGAGACCTTTTTTACATGCAATATGATGTTCAGAAATACTGCCTTTGTTTCAGTTTGGTAAAATAATTACAAAAGGCAATTAAATTAGTCTTGGTGTTCTTAAAACTGATAGTTGTATGCATGTCCAGGATTTACATCTCTGTGGAAGTTAACGAACACTCCTGTTCTTCTGGTGAACTTGTGAATAAATGTCTTGCATTCTGATGTGGTTTTAGACATGTATGTGTTCATACTGCTTGAACCAGGATATTCTGTTTTATCACTTATGTCTCTTCCTCTTTTATATGAATAGTTTCAATTTCTTAGAAAGCATTTTCACGTCAGGAAATGGCTCTAAAAATGCTTTTGTGCTTTCTGCTGTTGTATACAATTGGTCCTAATTTCATCTTATCATGAGACACTGTTTTAGCAGAAATTGCTGCTTAATATATGGTTATTGCCTTCAAAATATATGTTACAATGATAGGTTTAAGATGAAAACTGCATTGTATATATTTATTTAAATAAGTTCAAATAATTTAACAATTTATACCTCAAAACAAAGTATATTAAAATATCACTTCAGAATTTAAAGTAACAATTATTCAAATTTAAAGTAACAATTATTGACATGAAACGAACAGTATGGAATTTTTTACAGAACATGTAATTTTCATAAAGTAAAATACAATCCTTAGAGGCAATTTATTGGATATAGTGTTACAGCATTTTTTTAAATTTCATTTTGATTATTGGGGCAGGAAGGCATGGGGATTGATCCCAGTGTTCTCTTCACGACAGTCATGTGCTCTGCTGCGAAATTTCACCCTCTCCCTGCTCAGTTGATAGCTGTTTTTAGTGTATATTCATATGAGCATCGTGTGTTCCATAGGTGAGACTGCTGGTCCCTCTCCTTACTCAGTTGATAGCTGTTTTTAGTGTGTATTCATATTAGCATCGTGTGTGATCCCTCTCCTTTTCATAATATTTCTTGAAATGACTTCCTAACTAGTTTTGAAAACTTTCAATACATAAGTAAAAGTACAATTTTGAAAACATTGAACTGGCTTCTTCTCATAACTGACTTTTGAGACCTATAAAAACACTGATTAAAAACCAAGACAATAATTAGAGATACGTTGAATTTTACTTAGTTATTTCTAAAAAGACATATCATTTTCTAAACAATTATTAAAGAGGTTTTTTTAATAATTCCCTTTGAGTTAGTGAAAGAAGCTTTCTCCCCTAGTTATAGGCATATGCTGTATAATACAAATAAATGTGTCTTTACTGTGTGCCTTTCGATGTTTTTGGACTCAAACGATGATTTTTACTTGGAATACAGCATAGTCTTTCTATATTTGTCTATATTGCCAGGCTGTATTATTTGGTATTGACACTGAAGAGCTAACTATATTAACCTTAAAAATGGTTTTTAAAATGTACAGCACAAAGATCCTTTTGGGGGGACTTACTTGTATCTTTTATAGATTTGATAGTATTTTATAGATCCCTTTTATTCATGAGATGCAATACACATTAGTGTACATTTTATAACTGTGTCCTTGCCAGACCACAGCTCTGTAACTAAACATTAAAGCATTTGCTTCATTTGAAAGAACATACTTTGTGTTTTGTATCTGAGTTTCAGTTTGTTACAGGGCTGATACTGTATACTTGTTGCCTCTTTTGGAATCAGTTGGCAAATACTGAAGACAGATTTATTGAGGTCATGATATCAGCTTCTTTTACTGAGTAAAAATTGTGTTGAGAGAGATAGCAGCTCTGCTGTGCTCTTTATGACCTGGGAATGGATCTGCCCCTGCAGTGCAGGACGGCAATTGGCTCCTTTGAGATGTGTCAGGAAGCATTAATGTGAGCTGTCTTCACAGGTATTCAGATGTGCTGAGAAAAGCCTCTCATTTGGGTCTCTCAAGGAGCTCCTCCTATGTGTAGAAGGAGGAGCTACAATTGCTTTACCCTACCTAACTTTTTTTCTCTTAGTAGCTTTAAGCGTGAAAAGAGAAGGGTCTCTCCCGATCTGTGTGATGTTTTAAATGTAAATGGTTTGTAATGAAACTCGGTCTTCCTCCAGAATGACTTTTGACCTGGAGGGAAGAGGAAGTGTGTGTGAGTGTTGTGTGTGTGTACAGTTGTCCAGAGGTGTTACAAAGTTTTGATTCCAGGACTCCCCTTCAGGTCTGACCGTCTAAATCACATATTCTCTTCCATACCTTAAATCATCTCTCAAGAACTTAAAACCCCTAGTCTAGTGTATTTTGTGTCCTTTATTGTAATTATGGAATAATGCTGAGAAGAAAAAAACCTTTCCATGTTGGTTCAAATTCAAAGATTTTTCCCCCAGATAGATATCTTGCTGGCATAGATCTCATAAAGCCTTATTTTAGTTCTTGAAAATAAAATTTCTGTACTACTTTATTCACTTAATCCTGTGTTCAAATACCTATATCTCTAAAGGATCGTTTTGTTTTGACTAGGTTTCTGGAGTTGCCCTTTTTTTTCTTTGTCTTTTTATTTATTTTTGTGATGTATATTGATTGAATGCAGGGTTCCATCTGTACTAAGTGTACACATTATGCCCAACGCTTAAAGATTACTGTGATTTTTTTTTTTCTGAGAGGCCATTGTCTGAATGTTGGAAATAGCAACTGCTATTGCTCTGCCTGGGGTATTGGATCCTAATCCACGTGTCTCTACTGTCATCGGAGTATAACAGCATTTTTTCAGATAATGTCTATAGTATTAACTTCTTTTGAACAAACTAAAGTATATTTGAATTAGAAAAAATCTATGTATTAGGTAACACCTTAAAGACAAAGTATTTTGTGAACTATATTTATATGAGTTGAAGTCCCATAAAAATAAAGTTAGATTAAAACCATGTAGTTTTTGTTTACCTTGTAATAAAATCAACACCAGAGATATATTGTGATATAATTAATACACACTTTTACTGGGGAGTGAGAAGAGAGGAAGTAATTAAAAAATGTAAGTTGTAAACAGAAGTTGAATGCTTTGTACCCATCTCTGCAATTATTTAATATGAATGTTGTGGAAATATGAGTGCCGGCATAACTTTGGTAACCTATATATATTCTTTAATTTTGCCCATTTTTTTGAAAACCACATGCAACTGATAGCTTGATTTTCACAAGTGTACTTGTTTGAAAAGCTTTCACAAAAACTCATGCTGAAAACAGACATATGGTCATATTTATCTGGGCCCCTATCATTTTGTGAAGAATCATATTCAACAGTGTGTTTTAATGGCAAGTAGTGGAGTACTATAGGCTTTCAATATCCAAACACAACAAAAGTTCCCTTTAAGTTTTGAGAAAATAATTTGAAACTGGCGTTTATTGTAGTGACTAAATTTGACATCATTGCTTACATTTAAGCTTTACATGTTTAATTCATAACATGTTTCATGGTTTTAGTATTCATAATTAAGAAAAAATAAGTCACCCTTCTGCATAGTGTTTAACACCTGCTCTCTTCTGTGTGTGTGTGTGTGTGTTAGATGGAAGATGGTACCACAAAGCATGTCATCCAGATGACAGGATTTAAGATGGAAGAAAAGGAAGCGCTAGTCAAATTACTTTTAAAGCTAGACTGCACTTTTATTAAGAGTGAGGTGAGTATAGAAACATACTAAAATATTCAACATGGAGTTCAAAACATAGAATTAAAAAATAAAATAAAAATGTCCTTTGACATTATAAAAGTAAAAATTGTTATTATTAAGAAAAGCTCACTATAGTAATATTGCTTTGTGTGGGTTCTTCCCTCCAGAAATATAAAAATTGTACACATCTTATAGCTGAGCGCCTATGCAAGAGTGAGAAATTCTTAGCAGCTTGTGCAGCAGGTAAGTAAACTTCCTTTCTCCAACTCTTGAAAGAAATTTCATGTTAACAGAAAAACCCCAAGTTTCTGAAAATATATTATGCTTACTATGTCAGATATACATGTGTTGTTTGGATTTTTTAAAAAGATATTTGTTTGAATATTGCTTTATTCTAATTAACGTTTTCTGACACGTGAAATATATATTAAATGGGAAGAAATATTTACTTTGTCACAGATTTAGTTTAAATGTTTTGTTTAAGAAAAAATGTGTGTCTTAACAAAAAGATTGGACCAAATGTGTGTACTAAAACTTTAGTGGAAACCTCAGTGCTGCAGTCTTTCTTGTCTTCCGCCCTCTCATAAGTAAGCATGGCTCCTTCTCTCAAGCTGCTCCTCTGCTATCCTGGGAAGCAGAACCATCCTACTTTGTTCTTCCTGGATAGTCAATTCTTTTTACCCATGTTGAGACTTGGCCTTGTCTCCTTACCTTTTTTCCACCACTGATAGTCAAGCAGCTTTTTCTATGGTATCTGATTTATTGTTTCTTAGTAAGTCATGGATGCCACATCATTTTTTACATTCATTTGCCAGAGAAGCATTTAGATTTATCACTACCTTTAGAAACAAACCTATATATTATTCCTGCTGTTTAAATGACCACTGGTGCCCACAGAGGAAGCAGAATATGACATTTCCTATAAAATTCAGAAACATAATGAATTTAATATAAGATAACAATACTGTAAATGTTATTTAAAAAGTTTAGCATAGTAGGAAATAAACCTAACCCAGAAAAATGAATGCAATTAGTAATAATAGTTCACGTAATATTGCCTTTTACTTTAAAACTTTAGATTTATATTTCATTTAATGGCATTTAGAATTATGGGTGTGTATCATAGAAATATTATGTACAATGTTCAGTGATATTGAAGGCCTCTTGAAATTTGTTTTTAAAAACAGTATTGTCAGTGTATCATAAGAATCTCATGTATAAAAAAGATGACTCTTAGTTGCTATTTAATCTTTATTGTTTACCATTTAGCAGAACTAAAATTTTTTGTGACAGTTCATTTGCTTTCTAGGAAAATGGGTATTAACGAAGGACTACATAATTCATAGTGCCAAAAGTGGCAGATGGCTTGATGAAACAACTTATGAATGGGGATATAAAATTGAGAAAGACTCGCATTATTCACCTCAAATGCAATCTGCACCTAAAAGATGGCGTGAAGAGCTGAAACGGACTGGGGCTCCAGGAGCCTTCCACAGATGGAAAGTTGTCCTCCTTGTGAGGGCAGATAAGCGAAGTGAGTCTCTTGTAAGGTACGATGGGATTTTATACATTTGAAGCCGTGAATGAGGTCATGTTTTTATGAATACCTTTTAATATTTATGTTCAGTTGTTAGTCAGAATGAGGTATGATATAGTTTTTACAACTGGGACATTTTATTTTTGGTTCCTCTTTTTTGAGAACATGCATGAACACTGTGTCTAGATCACTCCCCCTCCCCCCCCCCATCCTCCACCCAACTCCTCCTGTGCCCCTCCCGTTTTTAATGATCACTCTTTCATTGTTACATGTACACACACACACATACACCTATGTATATAACCCACTAAGTCCATTAAGCATTCCTCATATGTCATGTGCCTAGGGTTTTATTCCTCAAATGAGGCATTGTGTACAAATGTATAAGTTTCCTAATAGAACAAATTTGGTTTTATAGATGGATTTTGATTATTCTGGTGGTCTCCATTTTAGATTCCATGTTATTTCTTTTGTTTAACGCAAGAAAAATAGAAAAAACAAAAAGAAGGTAATACTCAAGAATTTTGAAGCATTCTTACACTTTTGCTAGTTTATGTTCAGGGAGTCTTACATGGGCATGGTATTTATATAATACTGTCTTTGTTCCTCATGCTATTTCCATTATGATTTCTTTATTTTCCTTTTGTTTTTTGTTTGTTTTTTCCGAGGCAGGGTTTCCCCGTGTAACTCTCACTGTCTAGAGCTCACTCTGTAGACCAGGCTGCAGATCTGCCTGCCTCTGGGTGCTGACATTAATGGCATGCACCCCCATGCCACCTCATTTTGTCTTTTTAAATACAAGGAATTTTTGTTCAGAGTAAGTATACCCGTGTGCCCATGCATGCATTTGCAGATGAAAGCGCCCTGATCTTATTCTTCCCCTTAGTCTTTGTGACAGGCAGGAACTCTCACAGAACCCAGGGTTTCTGATATGGCTAGGCTCACTGGCTGACTGAACAAGCACTTAGAATCCTCTTGTCTGTTTTCTGATGCCAGAGTTATAGGTGTACACCACTATACCTGGGTGTTAACATGAGTGCTAAAGATCCAAACTCATCTTCACATGCTGTAGAACAGCATTTACCCACTGAGCCATCTCCCCATCCCTTTCAGGGGACTTCTCATTGGCTAAAGTATGTTTTGAAAACTGGTTTTGGTTTTTTTTTTTTTTTTTCCACTTAGAATCTCTTAGGTTTTTTTTTTTTTCTTTATTGGATTATTTTTTAAAAATGCCAATCCAAGTTCCCATTCTCTCCCCTCTTCCCATTTCCTCCACACACCCTCCCAACCCACCCCATCTAATCCTCAGAGAGGGTAAGGCACGTTTCCTTGTGGAAGGTCCAAGGCCCTCCCTACTATATCTAGATTGAGCAAGGTATCCATCCAAAGAGAATAGGATCCCCAAAAGCCAGTATGTGCAGTAGGGATAAATCCTGGTGCTACTGCCCATGACCCCTCAGTCTGGGCCGGCCATGCAACTGTCAACCCCATTCAGAGGAACTAGTTTGGTTCTATGCTTGTTCCTTCACAGTACAGCTGGACTTGGTGAGCTCCCATTAGCTCCCATTCTGTGAACTGTTTCAGAGGGTGAACCATAGTCTTGACTTTTTTGCTCATATTCCTATCACTCTTCAACTGGACTTTGGGAGCTCAGTCTAGTGTGCCAATGTGGGTCTCTACTTCTGCCTCCATCAGTAGCTGGATGAAGGCTCTCTGGTGATATTTAAGATATTCATCATTCTGGCTACAGGGCAAGTCAAGATCAGTCCCACTCTTATCTACTGCCCAGGGTCCCAGGTGGGAATTTCTGCTAATCCTGTAATGGCTCCCTAAATCAAGATATCTCTATCCTTGCTCTCATTTCTGTCCTTCCTCCATCTTGACCAACCCTCAAGTTCTCCTCTCTGCTCCCCTCCCCCTATTTCCTTTTCTTCCCCCACCCCCATGCCAGTCAATCCTGTCTATTTCCAATTTCCAAAATGGTTCTTTATATATTTTTCTTTGGGTTCATCTTATTATTTAGCTTCTCTAGGATCATGAACTATAAGCGCAATGTCCTTTGTTTATGGCTAGAATCCACTAATGTGTGAGTACATACCATATTCATTTTTGGGGTCTGGATTATCTCACTCAGTATATTGTTTTCTACTTCCATCCATTTGCATTCAAATTCAAGATGTCATTATTTTTTTCCTGTTGAATAGTACTCTAATGTGCAAATGTGCCACATTTTTTTAAATCTATTCTTTAGTTGAGGAGTATCTAGGTTGTTTCCAGGTTCTGGCTATTACAAGTAAGGCTGCTATAAATATAGTTGAACAAATGCTTTTGTAGTATGTTTGAACATCTTTTGAGTATATGCCCAAGAGTGGTATTGCTGGATCCTGAGGTAAGTTTAGTCCCAATTTTCTGAGAAACTGCCATACTGATTTCCAAAGTGGTTGTACCAGTTAGCATTCCCACCAGCAATGAATAAGTGTGTTCCTTATTCCACATCCTCTCCAACATAAGTTGTCATTAGTGTTTTTGATCTTAGCCATTCTGACAGTTATAAGACAGTATCTCAGAGTTGTTTTGATTTGCATTTCCCTGATAGCTAAAGATGTTGAGCATTTCCTTAAGTATCTTTTGGCCATTTGAGATTCTTCTGTTAGAATTCTCTGTTTAGTTCAGTACCCCATTTTTTAATTTGGTTATTTAGAATTTTAATGTCTAATTTCTCGAGTTCTTTATATATTTTGGAGATCAGTCCTTTGTCTGATGTGGGGTTGGTGAAGGTCTTTTCCCATTCAGTAAGCTGCCTTTTTGTCTTATTGACAATGTCCTTTGCTTTACAGAAGCTTCTAAGTTTCAGGAGGTCCCATTAATTTATTGTTGCTTTCAGTGTCTGTGCTACTGGGGTTATATTTAGGAAATGGTCTCCTGTGCCCATGCATTGAAGGCTATTTCCCACTTTCTCTTCTGTCAGTTTCAGTGTGGTCAGATTTATATTGAGGTCTTTAGTCCATTTGGACTTAGTTTTGTGCACGGCAATAGATATGGATCTATTTTAATTCTTCTACATGTTGACATCCAGTTATGCCAGCACCATTTGCTGAAGATCCTTTTTTTTCCAATTCTATATTTTTAGCTTCTTTGTCAAAAATCAGGTGTTCATAGGTGTGTGGATTAATATCCGGGTCTTAGATTCTATTCTTTTGGTCAACCGCTCTGTTTTTATGCCAATACCAAACTGTTTTCATTACTGTAGCTCTGTAATGGAGCTTGTTATCAGAGATGGTAATGCCTACAGAAGTTCCTTTATAGTACAGGATTGTTTTGGCTGTCCTGTGTTTTTTTTTTTCCATATGAAGTTGATTATTGTTCTCTCAACATCTGTGAAGAATTAATTGTGTTGGGATTTTGATGGGGATTGCATTGAATCTATAGATTGCTTTTGGTATCATTGCCATTTTTACTGTGTTGATCCTACCTATCCAAGAGCATGGGAGACCTTTCCATTTTCTGGTATCTTCTTCAGTTTCTTTCTTCAAAGACTTAAAGTTCTTGTCAAATAGGTCTTTCACTTCTTTGGTTAGTGTTACCCCAAGATATTTTATTTTATTTGTGGCTAATGTGAAAGGCGATGTTTCTCTGATTTCCCTCTCAGCTTCTTTATCATTTGTGGATAGGAGGGCTGCTCATTTTTTTGAGTTGATCTTGTATTTTGCCACATCACTGAAGTTATTTATCTGCTGTAGGAGTTCTCTGATAGAGTTTTGGGGGTCACTTATATACACTATCATATCATCTGCAAATAATGAAAGTTTGACTTCTTTTCCAATTTTTATCTACTTGATCTCCTTCTGTTGTCTTATTAGTATTGCTAAAACTTCAAGCACTTTATTGAAGAAGTATGAAGAGAGTGGACACCCTTCTCTTGTTCCTGATTTTAGTGGAATCGCTTTGAGTTTCTCTGCATTTAATTTTATGCTGGCTGTTGGCTTGCTGTATATTGCTTTTATTATATTTAGATATTTATGTTCCTTGTATCCCTGATCTCTCCAAAACATTTATTACGAAGGGTGTTATATTTTGTCAAATGCTTTTTCAACATCTAATGAAATGATCATATGTTTTTTTCTTTCAGTTTATTTATATGACGGATTACATTGATAAATTTTTGTATGTTGAACCAGACCTGCATCTCTGGGATGAAGCTGACTTGATCATAGTGGATTTTTTTTTTTAATGTGTTCTTAGATTCGGTTTGCCGGTATTTTGTTGAGTATTTTTGCATCCATGTTCCTGAGTGTGACTGGTTTTTAATTCTCGGTTGAGTTTTTGTGTGGTTTTGGTATCAGGGTAACAGTAGCCTCATAAAAAGATTTTGGCAGTGTTCCTTCTGTTTCCATTATGTGGAACACTTTGAGGAGTATAGGTATTGCCTCTTTTTGGAAGTTCTGCTAGAATTCTGCAATGAAACCATCCAGCCCTGGGCTGGGCTTTTTTTTTATTTTATTTTTTGGTTGGGCTTTTGATGACAGCTTCTATTTCATTGCAATTTATAGATCTATTTAGATTAATTACCTAATCTTGATTTAATTTGGGTGTATGGTATCTATCTAAAAAATTGTCCATTTCTTTTACGTTTTCCAATTTTGTGGAGTACAGGATTTTGTAGTATGATCTAATGATTCTCTGAATTCTGAATTTCCTCAATGCCTATTGTTATGTCCTCCTTTTTATTTCTGATTTTGTTAATTTGAATGTTCCCGCTCTGCCTTTTGATTAGTGTAGAAAAGGGTTTGTCTGTCTTATTGATTTTCTCAAAGAACCAGCTCTTTGTTTCGTTGGTTCTTTGTATTATTTTGTTTCTATTTTGTTGATTTCAGCCCTCAATTTGATTATTCTGTCTTCTACTCCTCCTGGTTCTTGCTTATTTTTGTTCTAGAGCTTTCAGTGTGCTGTTTTGTCACTAATGTGAGTTTTCTCTATGCGGGCACTTAGTGCTATGAATTTTCCTCTTAGCAC